TCTCTAATACATTCTGCATTGGTTGCTCCGTTCTTTTTCTTATCCTCGCGAGCGATAATCTTCAGACTTTATTTGCTAATGTCGGGATTGATTTGGAGACGCAAACCTGGGTTTACATTTGCGCTATTATTACATGGATTCCCCTCATCTTACTAAAATCAATGAAAGATGTCACATTCTTGAGGTATAGTTATTCGTTTAATTATGCACTGCAAATAATAATCTAAATTCCAAATGCTCGTATGTATATATCCAGCATAATGGGAGCAATCGCTTCGGCTGTTGTTGTTATCGTCGTGCTTACCACGTCTATCGTTGAATATCCCGATAAAGGATCCGATCAACGCGACTTTATCAATCTCAAAAATCTTCCTTTTGTTATAGCTACTTTCAATTTCTGTTTTGGCGGTAACATTGTGTTTCCCAATATCGAATCCAGGTAAACATACTGTAGCTATTGCGTGTATCTGAATTCTCTACATTTGTTTACCATATATACAAATTTGATATTTTAAAGTATGAAAAATGCGCGCGATTGGTCAAAAGTCCTAACCATCTCCATCTTTATAATCACCTTAATGTATTTGTTAATTGGTATTCCCGCCTATATAACCTATGGTCGATCTCTTCAATCCCCTATATATCTTTCCCTTCCACCTGGCCCTTCTGCAACCGTAGCTATAATAATGATCACCACTCACATTCTCTTGGCCTTACCAGTATACCTGACCTCCTTTTCCATGGAAATTGAAAATCTCCTTATCGTACAAGAATTTGAAGTTCGTCGTAGATTTGTTTGGCGTGTGATTATACGTTCACTAATAATGGCTTTCACTGTATTGATGGCTGTCAACATACCATTCGCTTCCGATTTAGTAGAACTGTTAGGTGCCGCTGGAAATGGGATGTTACTGGTGGTCACACCAATTATACTGTGGGTTAAATTATTTGGTTGGCAAAATTTAGAATTCAAAGAACAATGTTGGATAATTTTTGTGTTGACGTTTTCTATCTTTGGTGCTGTGATTGGGACAATCGATGCTTTGAAGTCT